AAAACTTTTAATTTTAAAAATAAATGGATGCAGTGATTTAGTTGTTTCCCTTGAGAGCTGCTAGCTAGCTCCTTTTATTTTTATCTTTTGGAAACCCCCCTCGGGCCGTCACCAAACTGGGTTAAACGGTTGGCAGTGTACAAAAATACTGCCTAAAATAGGAGTGATCCTGGAACAGCTTTCATTAAGACATTTACACCCAGCCTAGCGCTATCTTTACCCGCGCGGGCACCAAGTACCGTTAAAGAGCTCTTAATTTGGTGAGGTCTCGAGGTTGCTCCTGGGAATTCCCTCGCTTTACTCGCTTTCTTCTTTTCTTCTCCTTTTCCCGGCAATTATGGGTAATCTATTACTGGTACTGATAACAATTCCTGAGACTTTTTCGTCTTTTTAACTTTTTAAATTAAACTTGATGGAAGTTCAGTTTTTTTTCCAAAAAAAGGTTCAGCTTTCTATATTCTATCTCATATTACATTTCATCGAAATATTTACATGTTTTAATTACATATCTTGCAAGTAGTAAATGACAACATTCATCCGGAAACACAATGTCCCTCAACACTTTATAGAGGTAAAAATAAAAATAGTTTACAAAGCAACGTGTTCTACGTCCCTTTGTTAACAAATTTTATAAATACTTCCGAAGCGATCTCCATATTGAGATATTCAGTACACCCGCATGTTGTCCGCATTATCTATTCCAGCTAACTGCATTGCCAAGGCAAAGATTTTCGTCAATTCATTTACGTCATCATTCCCTTATTTACCGTTCACAGCTTTGTTACCATGCATTTCTAGAAAGTAATAAAATGCACATCTAATGTCATTATTAATTAAATATACATCATAATCATCATCAGCCTATCGCAGTCCACTGCTGGACATAGGCCTCTCCCATTGCACGCCACTTAGATCGATTTAGGGCTTCTAAATTAATATAAATAAATAAAATAAAATAAAAAATAAAAAAGCCTGTATTTCCGTATCCTTAATTTCTATTTCAAATGTTGGTATTTGTTTGTTAGTGTTTAGTTAGTTATTCATGTTTTTCTTATTGTCTAAATGTTAGTAAGGGTTAGTTTTTTCTATTTGGATATGGACCCCTCCTCGGGTGAAGGCCTCCTCCAGTCCTTTCCACTCATCTCTGTCCGTGCCGATAGTTTGCCAGTCTTTTCCTATTAATTCGGTTATATCGTCAGCCCATTTTCTTTTTGGTCTCCCTACCCTTCTTTTACCGATTGGCCCTTTCCACTTTGTAGTTTTGATTGTCCACCTGCTGTCTGTGTATCTCGATACGTGACCTGCCCACTGCCACTTCAATTTTAAAGCTTGCGTGATCTCTGTCATCTGTTATCTTTGTTTTCTGTCTGATTTCCTTGCTCCTGACTTTTTGTATCTTTCTTATATTTAGGATGCTTCTCTCCATAGCTCTTTGTGTTGTTGTGATCGTTTGTTTTGCTTTTCTTGTGTATATCCAAGTTTGGCAGCCATAGAGTAGACAAGGCAGTATACAGGTGTCTAATACCGTTTTCTTAAGGTTTATCGAGTAGTCTCCTTTTAGAATTTCTTTGAGTGACCAAAATTTCTTCCAAGCTATGTTTGTTCTTCTTTCAATTTCATCTTCATTGTGCGTTTTCAAAAATGATATTTGTTTGCCTAGGTAGATGTAACTGTGGACATATTCTATAGACTTTTCTTTTACATTGATGGGCCGTTCTCTGTGGTTTGTCATGATTTTAGTTTTTGTAGCATTCATCTCTAATCCTATTTTTGAGCTTGCTACAGCAAGAGAGCGGAGCATATCTTGTAATTCATTTGCTGTTTCAGACAGTATATAACTATGTCGTCCGCGAATCTGAGATGGGTTAGATAGCTGTTGTTTATTTTTATGCCTTTATTTTTCCAGTCTGTGTTTCGAAATACATCTTCTAAAACCGCAATAAACAATTTAGGTGACAGGGGGTCCCCCTGTCTGACTCCTCTTTCGATATTAATTGCATCACCTCTAGATTCTAGCACGACATTACTTATGCTGTTGTTGTATATGTATTTGATAATCTTTATATATTTTGAATTTATGTTTAATTTTTTTAGTGATTTCCATATCGAGTTGTGGCTTATGCTGTCAAATGCTTTGCTGTAATCGATAAAACCTAGATATAGTGGCTTATTAAACTCTTCGTATTTTTCTATAACTTGTTCCAGTGCCTGTATATGGTCTAGTGTGCTAAACCCAGAGCGAAAGCCAGCTAGTTCTATTGGTTGTGCGTTTTCAATCTCTTGTGTTATGCGTTTAAGAATTATAGATGAGAAGATTTTGTATATGTTTGCCAGTAAACTAATTGGTCTATAGTTGTTGATGTCGAGAGGGTTTCCTTTTTTATATAGTAGTATGATGTCTGACGTGCACCATTGGATAGGTACGATTTCAGCTTCTAGTATGCAGTTGAATAATTCTGTGAGAGGTTTAAGTAAAACTGGTGCACCTATTTTCAAAGCTTCATTGGTTATTCCATCGGGACCAGGACTTTTATCTGATTTTAGTTCTAAATTAATATACGGGGTATATTTTTTTTCGCTTTGGTAGTATTTATCAGTCTTCTGGTACGTAAAACATAAGTAAAAATATAATTGCATATGTTGCTGAGCAATCTTTTCTTGAGACAATCCTTTCTGGCTGTTAGTTTTTTTCTTCATCAGCGAGAATAACACTTACAATCTAACAAGCCAGAGAGTGGGGACCTCTGGTGGCAGATTAATTGATTAGGTGTGTTGTCGTTTCGGAGAGGACCTGAAATTACATGGTCCGGGTCCTCTTAGACTAGGACGCCCGAGGCACGCCGTTGGGTGGTTTTTAAGGAACAACAGTGATTGTGTGCCGACATAGAAAAATTTGGTATTGACTCGGGTTGTTATACTTATGTTAGTGAGATAGGCGGAACACATAGTTGGATCGATCATTGCCTTGTCACGCAAGCGATATGGGACTATGTAGTGGATATACATGTTTGCTATAATGTTTATTGGGCTGATCACTATTCGTTATTAATAAACTGTAACTTAAAAGTATTGAAATGTAAAGTTGATTTAAAAAATAAATATAAGAACAATGTACTATGGTGTGAGAGGGATTCAAATCAAATTAATAGTTATAGTAAGCTAGTTGACTCTATTGGAAAACTTGGTTAATTTTATACTTTAATATATATTTTATCCCAAAAATCCTATATTTGAAAGAAAAAGCAATATTTACATTAAGTATTTTGTATTTAAAAAAAAAACAATTTAAATTTCCTTTAAAGAACGCTAAATAGTGTCATGGCGTCTTGAATGACGCCACAGTCTGCGAAACAAAACTGTTTACATCTGTGTCCAGTGTCAACTGAAACTGTATTAAGGTGAGAAAATATGCTAAAAACGAAAAACAAAAAGGAGTAACCTGCTCTGCTAACTCTGAGTAACATGATGTTTTGCGTGGCGTGACGTAACACTTTCTTTTTAGTGGACACATATTGTTAATATATTAAAGGACGCGGCTAGCCAATCTAGTAGTAGGTGTAATAGGCAGACTAAGCAACACCCTAATAAAAACCGTACGTTGTTGGATGGAATAAACAAGTAAAACACCTTCACGGGCAGGCGCAGCTTGATTATGAGATGTAGGTTTATGAAATAAATTATTATTGTTATTAGTGGAATCACCACATACTCCTGGTTCCTGAGTCCTTAAGGAGCAGGAGATCCGAAGGGATTTTCCACCCCGTCTACAAAAAAGGCCCCAATCTTACATTATGAATACGACGAGGCTGTTGCGGTGGCATGCATGAGAACTCCTCGGCATTCCTAAGCAGACCTTGGCATGTCTGAGAACTCCTCGGCATTCCTAAGCACTCCTCGGCATGCCTGAGAACTCCTCGGTATTCCCAAGCACACCTCGCCAAGCCTGAGGCCTCCTTGGCAATAATAGCCGTCTACTAATCTACAAATATAAATAGCAATAAAAAAACAATGTTTTTGTGTATTTTGTTAGGCAATTTTATAAAAGAAGCGCAGAAACATGGAAACAATGGAATTTTGACGTTTTTATGTTATTTTAAACACGTATGTAGGTATGTTGTGAATTTATTTTCGTTGGATTCCAATTTTAAATCCCATTTTCTTTATTTTAACGATAGGTTTGCTATTGCTATTTGGGAGGGTTCGAAAGGGGGGGGCACGCACTTGTGACTCTTGAGTTGCAGAGGTCCATGGGCGGCGGTAGTCACTTACCATCAGGTTACCCGTCTGCTCGTTTGCCCCTATGTCGTAAAAAAATTACAAGTTTCTGTTTTAATTAACAATAAATTTAATAATTTATCTGTTGACCCGAATCAAAATCTCAGTTTTTATCAATTTCCTGTTTCAATTTATTTTCTATACGATCTTACACCAGTGTGCAAAGCTTCACATAACGCATGTGCAACTTTATTAGAAGGTGGTAGGGTATGTGCAATTTTGTTTTAATTTTTTCACACTGACAAATTATATTTAAAAATCTGAAAGTCGCAGCAAACTAGCAAACAGTATATGACGGCGATAAAAATAACAACATGATGTATATTAGATAGATAGATGAATAGAAAACTCTCTCTCTTTTTCAAATAAATCATTAGTAATTTTTCTATCCAAAGAGCATTTTTTTCTGTTCAAAAATGTGTAACTAAGATCAAGGTGTAGGTAAATAAAAAAAACTTTACGGTTTGTTTTCGGCGAAGATTTAGCGAGTAAAATAATAGCAATAAAAATATCAAACTCATAAATACATAATATACATAGTAAGATAAAGTAACAATAAACAAGTTTACTAAAAAAGTTTAGATGCTCAAATATTGGAGAAATTAGCGATGATTTTAGCGCACCGCCGCGCATAGATAACAATAGGATGAGGGCTGTCATGTACCCTAATGTGCCATGCGTCGATATAAGTGTGACGGGCGGCGCTTGCGGATCAAAACGCGACAATGTACGCCAAGTGGGTGATTGTGTGCACCGCAGCCGCGCTCCTCGCCAGCGCGTGCGCTCGCCCCGGCGCGAACGACATAGAAAACGTTATTAAAACATGTGAGTTTACAAATAAGGGCTATTTACTTATACGATAGGCTTTTACTATACTGTGAAAATAATGTCGTGCCTTTTATGATTCTGCTCGTACATTTTTTTTTATTAATATATTATTTTATTGTTTATGGTATTAGTTTATTGATATATTTTAATTTAATAATTGTAATAAACTAATTGTTTTGTACTAATTTAAGATTTGTGTAGATAACTAATTAATTTTCAGTTTGATATGAGATTTTGTTTTCTTTCAATGACGTGTTTTCATGTTTGAAACTAATAGTGAACGGTTATAAAATTAGTGAAGGTAATACATAAAAACTGTCAATAGAACGATAACACTGTTTAAAAATCAGAATTACGCACTGTGTTTTCATAAGAAAAATCTATCACCCATCGTAACTATGCGGTTAAAAGATTAATACTAAACAATTTGAGTATGGGGTAGTGTGATATTAAAATAAAACATCAGTGTGCAATAATTAATTTATTTCGTTAATGTCAAATAATGTTCGTAAAAACATTATTGTTAATTAAAACTATTATTTATTTATTTAACTTTATGCTCTTTTGTACATCGGTGGACTTAATGCTCAGGGCATTCTCTTCCAGTCAACCTTTGGGTGGTATAGAAATCTTGTAAGATAGATGCACAGAGGTTACGTCTTAATACATCTTAATATAATATTAAGTTATTATTTTTTTAATTTTATAACATTTCCACAACGAATTCACAACAAAGGTTATCTTTTGGTACGACTTTTCATTGACGTCCGTAGAGTTGGGGGTAGTTTTTCTGAAAAAAAATTTGAAATTAAATATTTTGCCATATTTATATCAATCCCTATCACAGATTATATAGAATTCTCGACATTGAACGTTTCGTTTTACCTACGATTAAGTTGTCATACGTTCGGTAACATTTTATTTTATATAAATTTACGTAAATAATTATATTTTGTACTTATTTTAATAGTTTTCATTCACACAATATTTAACAGTTTATATATATATATTAAATTACAGCATTATTTTCATTACTTACTATTCAAATAAAAAGTGTAGTGTTTACCGTAAGTACTAAATAATTATATTTTGTACTTATTTTAATAGTTTTCATTCACACAATATTTAACAGTTTATATATATATTAAATTACAGCATTATTTTCATTACTTACTATTCAAATAAAAAGTGTAGTGTTTACAGTCTGTTGCCAGCTTGTGGAACGAAACATAAAACTAAGCCGTAAACTATGGTAAATTCAAAACTTTTTTCACAAAATTCTATGACATGCAATTCAGGATTACGATTAACTTTTTTTAAATATAAGTCAGTTTAAATTCACTGTATAATACATAAACGCTTACTCCTTTGCTCTTAAAAACTTATCTGAACTAAAGTTTTTTACATACTTCATTATTTTTAGTAGTAATAATTTATAAACTAAGCTTCTAATCGCTCCTCGGCCTTTTGGCCCTCAGTTCTTTTCAGCTTAATATCTAAAAAAAATTGGATATAGTTTAAATTAGATTAAAAACTTTGATGTGTTTCACTGTAGGTACCTAACCTCTTTATTGGGTATAAGGTAATCTTTATTAAATTTAAAATTGGCGGTTTATTATCATTTCTATTTTTATTATGTCAATTGTAAAGGTATAAATCGTTAACACCGCGAAAATTCCACTAAATATTAATTGAAGTTTCCAAAGAATAATATACAGATATGCCTAGCCTGTGACATAGATGATAAATTGAAATCAATCGTAAACATTTCAAAGAGTTGCTTAATGCTCACTATACATGAAAAAAAATCGTTCTTCAAATTAAGAGTTATCGGATAGTTATCGACGCTACAAATATATTTATATTGACCCAGTGATTTATTTAAATTTATTTGCTTACTATTTGATAAAACAGAGATTGTTGCTTTTGTGTGTGTTGATCTATGACTTTAGAGTACAGTACAGAGTACTACATAAAAGACGATTTTAAAGAATTTTAAAATTTTTATTAAATAAAGAGAGTTTGAGTTTGCTACGAGGTACCTACTCATTTAAAGATTATCGTATATTAACCACAGGAATAGACGTAGTTGTACTAAGGTTTTTGTATTTTTGCTGATTGGTGTTGCAAGGCCGTGGTGACCGCTTTCCATAATAACATTCACGGCGATAACAAGCTTCAATATGCATACGTAAATATCTTGATGAAAACTTGAAACATATAGTTAAGAAAGTGGTTTGTTTTATAGTTTTACCACCTACCGTCTGCGTTCATAAACTGAGTCGAGTTATGCAGACCAGCTAAATCCAGGACACTATCTGTTATTCTTACAAGTATTGTAATATAAGAAATACAATCTGCATTTTAAATTCAAATTGTAAGGTCTATAAATGCAACACATTTTGTAGTTGTCTGGGGCTAGATCACACTCCGGTAACCTCACTCACTCAGTGAAAGACAACGAAAGAATTGCTTAACACCGGTTTTCTGTGAGGCCATGGTATCACTCCGGTCGAGCCGGCCCATTCGTGCAGGAGCTTGGCTCTCCCACGGTGAAATAGTATATGATAGATAGATGTACATAGATGTAGATGTACATAGGTATAGAGTATATGATAAAAAGAGCATATGACTTGCAAAATCGGCATTTAAGTAATCTAACTAGCATTTTGATGATGATTTCGCAAATTTTAAACACGATGTACTTATATAAAAACAATCAATATATACATCTATATGAACAGTTTCTAAATACAATTTATTTTATTCTATGTATTTCATAGATAACATCACATTTATCTGAACAACAGTCTAATGTGTAGGTAGGTGATCTTTCTGCTGTCTATTATCTTCCACCCTCCTTCGTTTTAAAGTTATACTTACAATAATCGCAATTATTAATAACAATAGCCTTTATTTACCAATCTTACATACCAAACATTTCTTAAGTACTAATTTTCAACAATTAACACCAGTTCCATTAAAATTGTCTTGCTTCCCAAAGCCTGCCATAGAATGCAGTCATGTGTCTTCCTTCTCCACGTAACTCCTGCTATTCTTTTGATGTCGTTCTCCCATGGGCTACGCTGTCTCTCTTTTCTTTTTTTGTACTTTCTGCGACACCACTCAGTAACGTCCTTGGCTCATTTGTTTTTTAAGAATTTATTAAACCTTAATATTGAATCATCGTTCAATCATGTGATAGACACCAAATTCGTTGTGTCCTCATTGACCATTTTATATATGTATACCGTATATGCAAATGTATGTATATGTTGTATATACATGTCTATGAATGACTAGTTCAGTCACAGTAATACTCACTCAACCGATTAATTCGATTCCTAAACTGATTGCTTTCGATATAATTTGAGTGCCGTTGTCACAAACGACGAGGATATTTGAAAAAATAATATAATAGACGCATTATTTTGTGGGCCTTTATGCGTATTCAACGAAGCCAAGCCTGCATAATAATAGATACAATACCCAAAACCCTCCTTTTTAATTTCTTCTGCATGATTATTTCATTATTTTAACTGTTAAGAAGACAAATATCGTGGGTTTGACATTACTGGTTTCCAAACCACGGACACATTTGCAGTAAGTACTCTAATAAAACTTAATGCTTAAGTTAACAGGGATAGTGAGTGGGTTGTTATTAATATTCAAAATGTGATTAAGCCAACTAACGCGCATTTTTACCCCTGAACTAACGTAATAAAGGTGGAGAGTTTTAGTTTATTTGTTTAAACCCGCTTATCTATGGAGCTACCAGTTGGATTAAATTAAAAATGAATTGATTTCATTGAGGCAGGTAACGTAAGATAATTGAGAAACGCTATGTAACATCTCGCTACGAACCTTAACAGCGGCAGCGACTGTAAATGCAGTTGTTTTTATATTTTCATGGATCTAATATAAAGTTTTAACTACCGCATTAATTTTTTATTACAATAATTTGTAGTATCAATGGAACAATTTAATCACATCAACAGCCTTCAATAGTCCACTGCTGGACATATGCCTCTCCTTAGAAAGGAGGTTTTGGCCTACTATACCACGCTTGCCAGACGAGTTGGTATAGGGTTTTGTGTCAAATTTTCATTCTCTTTGCAGTGCTGTTGTTCTGCGTAGGTTTCTCCCTTATTCGGCTCTTACGACACCCACAGGATGAATAGGGGTAGTAACACTGTATTCTTAATCCGTCACCACACAATTGAATAGAACACTTTTTTTTTTACTGCTCCTCACAATGGGCATTCTTCATACTGCCTGAACATTACCAATAATGCCATAGGTAATAATCATTTGATCCATAACCTTTACGATTACGTAACGACTTGATCCTAGAGATCGATCGTAGTCACACAGCCGGTATTGGCAAAGTTTATCTATTAAATGTTATTCTGTATGAATCACACAGGAATATAAACATGAAACGTTGACTTTCTACGTTACGTCATTCAATAGTTCTATGTTAAATGTGAATTACATAGTATATTATATATTAGACATTTATGAGTATATAGTATACAATGCGTATTTAAAAAAAAATCTAGGTTTATTCGTATTCTAGAACCGACGTACAAGCGTTGTGCCTATAACATTAATCCATAAATAATCTTCTAACGTAACGAATATAAGAAATCGCATTCGATATCGTCCATGAAAGTGTCATGGTTTTTCAGAATCCATCGTCTGCACCTGATCAAGAAGTATTTTGTTATGTATTGATCCTAAATAAAATGATGTATAGTAAGAAGTTTACCTTACTTAGATAATTGCGTTATCCATCCAGCTGTATATCATTAATAAAAGATCATGTCAGCACTGAGCAATTCGCCAGCAATAGATCCGCGATGATGATAATTATGGGGAAATACTACTTTTTATCACAAACGTATATTTTCCTTTACTTACGTTTTACAAAAACTCAAACCTTGGGTTGGATAACTTCTTATTGTTTAGCAAAAAGTTCTGTGAATGGTGTTAACATCGCCAAATCGGGATTAAATTTATTCTATGAAGTACTTACGACATAATAGGTTACTCCCTTAATTTAAAAAATGGAATCGATTACATTTTAATTACATACAAATTTTATTATATTTAAATGTAAGTAACTCATGATTGATCAAATTTGTTGATTAGTAATTGACTGGAACATATATGTATACCTACTGCCAACCAAAAAAAGCAACAACTACATACCAGAAATAGGTTTATCAACACAGCTTGTCCAATATTTATCTGATTGCTTCGAGACTAAGACTAAGACGAGCATACCACAGACGTCTATCTTAAAAATAGAGGAAAATTTACATTGGTGTGTAATGTTGTCATCAGCTGCAAAAACCAAAAACTCCTATATTATATAGGTTCATATATATTATGCGTATGTTCACAGATAAGTATCATAGTGTTTATATGAAACAAACATTTTCAAACGCCGTAACTATAAATTTCAAATCTAACGTAACCTGACCAAGATTTCAGATTGTGACAAAAACGGTTTAAATATAATAACTATAGTAAATAGCAGAATACATCGGTAGGTAATTACATTATTATTAATTGTTGGTAAAACCATAATCTGTTCCAATAAGTTATCTATATTTATCGAACTCACATTACGAAACATGATAAAGTGTTAATAAACATTAGGTTATTTGCTGCTTAATAATGCCCGAAAAGTGTTTTCTGATTTGTGTAATTTTTTCCTTGTGCGTCGTGAGTTAGTTATTAATTTGTAGTATTCAAATTGTTCTATACGGTATACGAGTACTTGCTTTAGCTGGAATTATTTTCATTTTTTAAGCATACATTAGCTAGAGTGTCAATGTTGTCAGAATATCACAAAAGTGTGAAAACAGTGCAGCTGCAGCAACTGAAATAACTGATACCAGACTAGGGGAATATAAATCACTAACTAGGTTGTTAATTTCATGTTTTTTTATTAAAATTTCAGCTGACGTTCCCAGCAAAAATGCTGAAGATCTGACAGCCAGCAACAAAACTATTGACACGAGACCGGTGAACGAACGCTTCCCTCATGCCGTCCTTTTTGGTGGTACGTGTGGGGGCACCATCATTAGCCCAAACTGGATCCTCACTGCTGGGCACTGGTAGGTCACTTTTCAATCTACCACTGAATCTAAATGATAGGCTCATCAATCATGATATTGGCTGTGTTACAACCAATGTTGAATATTTTTCAACGGGAATAATACCCGTACATGTTAATTGGTGAATAGACTCATTAGGAAACTTGACAAAAAAGTCATCAAAAACAACTTAGTTAAGCACTTAACTTAATAGCTCGATACTTGATAGGTACCTACTACACAGCACGTGAAGGATTATATATTCTTCTGTCAGGTACTTCGGTTTAAGTAACCTTTACCGGTGCTAGCAATGATTACCGAATTTTTAAATTATCGGTGTTGCAAAACCTTTCACTAACAAGGAAATTATTAATTTAGACAGAATACATACAGAATGTAAAAAAGAAGTAAGACACTATGAGAAGAGACACTAGTCCATTAGTTATGGCGTATTTATTAGCAAATCAACGGCGTAACTACCGAAGTTTATTGTGCATTTTGAAGGTCTTGTCTCCCTTTAATTTAGCCTTTGAGGTATTATCGCTATAACTGGCAAAAGTAGTCCAGTCACTAAGAAACAAACAAACAAAAGTGAGTTTTAGTACTCGTTTTTTTCTAAAATATTTTCGATTCCTAGTCTTCACTTGTATAATACGTACCACGAGCCTAACATCGGCATGTTAGACTACCACGTAACACGTAAAGTAACGATCATTAAGAAACTATAGTTATATAACAATATTGTTCATTGATCACATAATTGCAATATTTATTTTCTAATATAGCGTATAATTTATCTATTTATACACAAATATTAGTTTTATGCAATCAACTCACTGACACCAAAACCACCCACATTATTCTTTGCACTCCTGTTAATCCAAAAGTTGTATAGCAGACATCGGGTCTTGCGCTAAGGCCGCCCATTATGTATTCTGTTTATTAATGTGTTTTTATTGATGTACAATAAAGAGTTTTAATTGTTTATTTATTACATGGACGTAAAGTGTATGGTCTGGTTTATTACTAGGACGGCTTATTAAATTATAAATGGTGGAATCGCACAAGGACCTGATTACAATGCCAAACGCATTTAAGATAAAGGTTTATTTTAATTTACAACTCTTTAGCCAAACTACCACATCTTTTTACTTAAATGGGGATGTCTGAACTATATGGGAAATATGTAGCAACTAAGCGTAATGTATACTAAATTGTTCAAATTTTCATGCTAAATCTAATTTACAGCGAAATAAAATAATGCATGCATTATTAATAAACGTTTATCTTAAATGCGTTTGGCTTTGTAATCAGGGCCTTGTGCGATTCCACCATTTAATTGTTATGCTTTACCCTTTACCTATTTTAATTCGTATACACAAATTCATAGTTGTAACTCTATTTTTGGGCCGGTATTTTTATATGTATGACGTTGTTATATTTTGCCGAGATTAAAAGCTCTTTAAATAATAATTTAAAATAGATTTAATCAGAGCTAAATCTAAATGTCTTATGTGAAACATCCACAGTGAAACCCTTTAGCAATCAGAAAGATCTCTTTAATGGCAACTCTGCCTAAATTCTAATTAGACGCAAACCCAGCTTTTAAGTAAATTAGTTAGATACAAACTAAAAATTGCTAATGTATGAAACGACTGTGGCAACTAAAGTCAACCAAAGTGTTGACTTTACAGAAAGTCGGCCTTCAAATAAAAAACAAAATACTGTGATGTAGTGTTGTTTAATATCCTCCTGTATTAAGAGTATCTTACCTGCACCAAAATATCAACTGAAAAAAAAGTTTCGCATTAATTCGAATAAGCCTGCGTCGTAGGCAGATAACACGTTCTAAAGGTATGTCGATTCATGCAAATGCATAATGTGTGGGTTTTCCTTGTTTGTCACAATTTGAGTTGCGCATGCTACTCACAATACAACACGTTTTATTAGCTGTATTTTATTTCCGTATCCATCACAAAGGAAACTTTTTGCTAACCACTTCATTAGTCAACTCGTCAGGTAAGAAAATGATTGAAATTAGATCGTATTAACGTAATATTTGTCTTTTAAAAAGATTATCACCAATTTTTAAATCTATTGAAAAATTGAAACTTTTTAAGTACTCATCATATCTGAACAATCAATCCTGATGGCTTATCCAATCATTTTCTTCAAATTGAAATGTGACCAACTTTAAGTTTAGCCAATTCTATTTTAGAAGAGCTATTGAAATAGGTTAACAATATGCGAATATATCGTGCAACAACATACACGCCAAAAACCAACAGTCTAATTAAGAAACACCGTGTCATACGGAGTCAATTTCAAGTGCAAGAAATTTTATTTAAATTTTACATTGTCATTTAATATTGACTAGCTTTTACCGGCGGCAACGCCCGCGTAAAATGTCAGTTATCGTGGCTACCACGATAACTGACTTGACTGACTGACGATAACTGACTGACTTTTGACTATGTTTTTCCTAAAGAATCAAAGTATCTTCATACCAAATTTCATCTAAATCGGTTCAGCGGTTATTGATACACCATACAAACTTCCACCCCTTTACACCCCCTTAAAAGATGATTTCTGGGATAAAAACTACCCTATGTCCTTTTCCGAGACTCGGACGATCTCTGTATCAAATTTTATCTAAATCGCTTCAGCGGTTCAACAGACAGACACACTTTCGCATTTATAATATTAGTATGGATAGATGACATATTTAACGTTGTTTGTTCAGGAGTTCTCCAAGCACTTCACCATAAACGAGCTTAAATTGCTTAGCAGCATTGTTAAAGTAATCGTATCGCGGATTCGTACCTCGTATTCGATCTTAACTCGAATAAGTGGGTAACTGTGAACTTCAACAACAGTTTTTGTTTAGCAAGGGGTGCTATCAGAGAGACAATACATACTATGAGTAGGCACAACTGGGCGGCTTGAGGCTGAGCCTGAGGCTGGAGTGATACCGTGACCTCACAGAAAACCGGTGTTAAGCTAATCTTTTCTTACTTTTGACCCTCCCTCTAATTCTGGGGTAGGACTCAAAAGACGTGAACACATTTGTGACTCTTCTGTTACAAGTGTGTATGGGCGGCGGTAATCACTAACCATCGTGTGACCCGTCTGCTCGTTCGCCCCCAGAGCTATAAAAAAGGAAAAAGAAATCACCGTCTCACATCATACCTTGCTAATAGTGAAACCATCTAAAATAATTAATTTGGATTCCTTTTTACGAAGAGGAATTAAACTTTCTTTTCTTTTTATTTGGAAGGGTATTTTTAAAGTAAAAACTTATATTTTCAATTGATACCTAAGATAAAATAAAAAACCCACAATGAATTCAGAACTTTGACTTTCTTTGGAATAGGTTAAAATGATTTTTAAAATAACTTTTACTGGTACTGGTAACTTTGGTTTCAGGGATAGAAATTTCACTAGCTCATTAAATTAAAAAAAGTTTCGTAATGGAAAAAAAAAATTGAATGTAAAAAGCATTGTTACGTTCTAATATATTTCTATAACATCGCTTCTTGAAATTGCTACTAACATTTACATTTAACATTTGTAGTTTTCAAATTCCTAACATTCTTATTACATACCTACATCCGTCATTGCCTTTCTAAACCAATTTGACGATATAGTTTTACAAATTAGCTTTACAAATTAGCTGATATTAAGTATAAGAGTGATACGTAATAAAAACGGACACGTTTATAATAAATAAACGTGTCCGTTTTGGCATTTAATAATCGGCAATAACATAGCATTCGTATCACAGTACCATGACCAACGATAACCCTGGCACGACTTTACCAATATGATCACCACCCACGCTGATTCGTTAATTATTGTTTTTGTCTAAGTTATCTGTATTTAGACTCTTCTCAGAGGTCAAAGCATAGGGCAGTCTCATAGGCATGTATTTACTCATACTCTGGATACATATACATCGTGCAAATTCCACGAATCCACGGCAATAACAGGTGGGTAATTTTTAAGAGCTCGTGAAAGAAAAGCTTTATATGTTATACCATTTATCTAAATGAGTGATGAAGCTCAAATTAATAAACTGTCGGATGCATTTTTAAAATGACGCAAATACCAGATGACTGCTATACATCATAAATTAAGTAATGTTTGTAATTAACGGTCATAAAAATAATAAAGCTTTGAATTCTTATTATTGTATAGAATAAAATCCAATCTTGAATAATTAAAGCCGAGATCAAACTCTATAATTTGTTAGCATCGGATAATCAGATATTATGGTTACATAGCTCGAAGACAGCCAGATAACCTTCTAATTACTGATCGCAAAGTTTATGGAAAAGGACCTACGACCTATTCGAAGGTTTTGTACCATAAAGAGGATTATGCTTATTTAAGACTTACCGCGACGAGTACGATCATCAGCAATGAAGAAATGTAGACTCTTAAATAAATGTTGCCTACTTCAACTATTTTATTATTCGTTTAAAAACTTTGGCGCACTCCTTAGTAGCCTTGCGCCTCTAGGCACGTGCCTATTGCCTAAAGTATAATCCATTACTGTACTTTACAGATTAATGTACTACTGTTTTTCTGATTGATTTAGGTTTTGGTTATTGCTTCACTTGTGGAATAGAACATTATTGTAATACCTATATTATACTGATACGTTATATAAGTACACCGGCTTTTTTACAAAAAAATAATAATAATGACGCAATGTAATTTTTTTAAGACAAGTGCGTATAACCCACTACATTGAACAAGATAGAAAAGTCTTATTATATAAAAACGTTTATTTTTTTCAGCACACTGTTTACCGGTGGCAGATATGTGCTGGCCGGCACCAACAACTCCGAAAACGATAGTGGTGTGACGCGATATGTAAAAAGGTTGATTATTCACCCGCTCTTTACCGTTGGGCCCTATTGGCTGGATGCTGATGAATATAACCTCAAACAGGTACACTTAATGTTGGATAAAGTATGAAAATAATTCAAACCTATTACTGAAAACATAAACCAAAAGATAAGTTGCGACAATTTTATTATACAGTAGTCGAAGTATATGTTAAGTTATATGTCAAGTTATTCAAATATTGTTATTAATTTTAAGTATGCGATGTAAGAGACAGTTAAAGTTTTTCTTTCTATAATATTCTAGTTAAGTAGTCATTATAACTTACAATATACTTATAATTAACCGTTGCAGGTTGCTGCGCGATGGGATTTTCTCTTAGCTGAGCTGCAAGAACCCTTACCCTTGGACGGCAAAACCATGATCGCAGCTAAGTTGGACGATCAACCAATTCTTCAAGTCGGTCTAAACGTTGGTTATGCGGGTTACGGCACTGATCATTTTGGGGTAAGTTGAAGAAAAAATACTTTTGAATGCCATAATCACATAATGTGACAAAGATGTCAAAGAAGAAATAAACTCTTCAAAATAACTTCTTTTGCTTTTGCTACGTGACTCTTACATATTTAGCGTTATCTCTGCACGAGCCATTTGTTTTGCTATTATTACAACATTTACGGCATGTCCTATTGGCATTAGAAAAAATAATGATATAAAAAAGAATAAACGTGAAATATAATTTTATAATACGATAATGCATTAAATAAATACATAGGTTGTTCACTGTATGAGTCACCCATACAAAAAATTATTATTAGGAGTAATAAATACCTATTGCCTAAACTCTTACTTACTACTTAAATGATTTCCCTTGGATGGGTAAGAGGACGCTCTCAGTAAAAGCTTCATCATTGATTACACTTCACACCTTGCCGATGTTCATTACCTTATTTGCTACTGTTAAAAGCTTAACTCACCCTTAATAATCCGATCCTATTTGTAGGTAAATATATATTACATATACCAAGTTGTATAGCGGGCATCATAATAGTTCAAGTCATCTTGAGCCGCATTGATATCTTTTCTAGAGGCTATATAATACCTATCATCAACCTATTTTTCTTTTCCGAAGGGCACTATGCGCAGTGACATGCACGGAATGGAATTATCTGTGCAATCAGACGACGTATGCAAAACGTTGGAACAATACAACCCGCAAGACATGCTGTGCGTAAAGGGTCGTCCTCCGCGTTATGACTCCGCCTGTAACGTAAGTACACTAAGTCCTTTCCTAAATAAAATCATTATATTCCATCACTTAAGAATGGCTCGACCGATATGGCTGATTATAATTTAAAAGGGATTTGTTGTAAAATTTACGAAAAAGTCGATTTGGCGGTGGCAAAATTTTGTTTTTACATTTAATATCACACCTGGTGTATGACGTTTCTAGAATTATTTCCTTACTAGCTGACCTGCGTCTCTCAATAGTAATAAATTTTCTCCGTTTTTGAAACATTCTTCATTGGTGCTCCGCTCCTATTGGTCTTAGCGTGATGATATATAGCCTATAGCCTTCCTCGATAAATGGGCTATCTAACACTGAAAGAATTTTTCAAATCGGACCAGTAGTTCCTGAGATTAGCGCGTTCAAACAAACAAACAAACTCTTCAGCTTTATAATATTAGTATAGATTTCTAATGTGTTGGGTATGTGTGGGTTCATAGAAGGTTTAGAACCTAAACCTCTAAAACTCTAACTTTAGATAGTGACATAGTTTGACTATGGTGATTTTTATTGTAGTTTTAGTTAATAGTTTTATCGTAGAAATCAATGGCCACCAAAATAACTCGTACTTACACATACTTACTCGTACACATATATATATATGTGTGTATAAAATGGCGACCCCGAAAGACGTTATGCTGATCATATAGTGGCGACTCATCCCGTCTTCGCACGGGTAATAGATTTCATTTAATGTCTACAAAACTGAAACCTCTGGTGCAGCTTGACTTTTGCATTATTATCAGGTTTCAACCGATTTACACAAAACCATAACAAATTGTATACCCAAACCGTCCTCAGGAATAAGAAACCGAATGAACTCATGCATTGAAAACCGCATTAAAATATGTTAATTAAGTAGTTTTTGAGATTATCGAACACACCAGGAAAGGTCCGGGGACTTCAAAACAAAATGAGTGTCCTAACAAAGAATACACATACCAACGACTAATTTGTTTATTAAACAATGGTTTTGTTTTGTGTATAAAACAGTGTTTTGATATATAAAATTAAATTTTGCTCGAGTTGACGGGGAGGCCGGGAGAGGCCGAGAGAAACTTTAAACTCTGAATGTATAAAGCAGACTTAATAAAATAAATTGAGTAAAACTTATTACATAATCAATTTCCAGGGCGACAGTGGTAGTGGTCTAGTCGACGAGACCGGCAGGATAATCGGTGTCGCCTCATGGGTGGAGAACGATGCACACAGCTGCAGCAACGGTGCCCTTGTAGTCTTCTCCCGTGTGTCCAGTGTACGCGACTGGATCAAGCAAGTCACCAAGATCTAAAGGATTACCCGTCACAATACAAATACGTACATGTATATCCGAGATCAATGTTATATCGTAGAGCTATTGTTGACTAGTCAAGTTTTTTTTCCTATATAATTTATTTAAATAGAATTGTTCCATAAACCGGTCCCATTATACTGAAAGCGTTCATTAGAGAGAAAAAATTCGTATGTTTTTCTAAACATACGAATTTTTTCTTTGCCTAAAACGCACTATTTGTTTAGTCTAACCAGCCTTCACGCATAGTTGAAAATATGACTGACAGGCGATGATTTCAACCAAAGGTAGATGTATTTCATAATACATTATACTAAATAGCAGTTTTGAACACATTTTCTACTTAGAATTAAGTATTTTTAGATTAGAGTACAAAGTTAATTACAGGCAAGTTGAAATTGTGATAATTGTTATTAGTCCTGAAAATTAATAATAGGTAACGATATTGTTGATCCTAATTCCTATTTTTTTAATAAATAGTGTTAACTGCGAAGAGTGTTTTTATTGGTATACCGATGGGTCGTTACCGTATGTTCTACTAATCACTAGGGAAAAAAAACACATTTGCTCTATTAGTTACACTATTAAAGATAGAACAAGGAGGGAAAAAAACATCGTTGTTACCATTCCTGTAATAAATCCTGTAAATAAATGAGACAATTTCTACCGCGTTATCTTTCAATATTGGAAAAGGTGCATTATGTTTACTTGGCAGCGTGATTATTGTAAGAAGCGTTCAGTTTCTTATTCCAGCTGTCAACATGTGGATTACCTCAGCAAAAGAATGGCGAAAATGGCTATTTAACCAATTACTAGATCTGTAATTCGCGCAGCTTCTGTAATTTTAAATTTGATGCACTTATAGTCTTTAGTGGCGATATTTAGAATCCGCCAAACTCGTTTCAGAGATCCACCAAACCCACAAACGTAACTCCTCGTAACGTTAGATCTCGAATAACATCGCAGCCGAAGAAAGAACATAGACAAAATAGGTTGCAATATTTACCTCGTCCAGACAACTAATTATATAGCTAATAGGCTTTTCAATATTACAATTTTAAAAATATGTCTGGTTGCGGTAACCCAGCAGAAAATTATTTTGTGAAATGATTAAAAAACTACTAAACTTTAAAAATGTGCGCAACAATTACTGAAGCTGGGCGACTAAATATATAAAACTTTTAAATGACTATTTTGGACATTATATTGCTGGGGTAACGCACACGACCAAAAATCAATAAATTTTTCATCGTTTAGCCAGTAAGTTTTTTATATAAATATAGTGATAATTTTATTTACTTTCTTATTTCACAACGCGTTATTCTTAGTTGCTGTTATAGAGTACAGTAGGTAAATAGTATTAGAGTTGCTGTGTTGGACGCAGTTGGAATATATTATATTGGTGAATATATTCCCGAGGAATTAGGTAATGGTCTGATCAAGTTTACTTTTAAACCACTCTGATTTTGTAAGACCAATTGTTTTAGCTTTACGCTGAATTGTGTGCAAAGCTATACAGAACTAGAGAAACAACAGAACTATCCAGAGGAGGTGGTTTCAACGCACGCCGCCGCGGCTGAGGCTAGCCGGCCAAGCCGGCCAGAAAGCCGAAGCTGCGGTGGTGATCGTCGAATTCATCTGCGACGATAAGCTCGCGTGGGACTGCCGTGGCCTCGCAGCGCCGGCCGCCGCTTGCTTGTATGCTTGCAGGCTTTATTATTATGGTAAGAAATACAAAATGATGGATAGATAGTTTTCAATTATTATAGATATGAAAGGTATACCAAAAGATGTTTTTCACTGTAAACTTCCTGAGATATAATAGTTCTGCCTTTTATGCCTAAAGATGATTATGAGTTTTGAATGTATGATGAATGAGTGCCTGCCAATCGATTTTCTGCGAAATGAAGTTTATGCTATCCGTTGTTATGCAAAATATTATGACATAAAAAGTTTTGCTATAAAGGGTAGACTCCATACTTTCATAGCAAAATTCTACACATTTTGGTATAAAAATGGCGGGACCACGAGCGAGGTACAATTTCTTTAGTTGCCGCGCGGTGAGTTTCGTCACGGGCTACTTCGCAGGTTGGCGGACAAAATGTCACCCAATTGTCACGACGTGACAACTGGGTGACGTACATACAGTCCGGAATAGTGACAAAACAGTCACAGCGACAAGTCACCCGTGCGCGCTAGCTCTTAGGCATTCCACAAGTGGAGCGACTTGGTGGGGCAAAGTGAAATATTTTTTAATACTGGTAGCCACCTTGAAGAAAAATTCGTATCCTTTATTAATACACAATAATTCGACCATTTTTAGCAATTATTTCGAATATTAACAAAAAAGAAAATGTTTGTCACTTATTAATCTTAAAATAACAATTTTGCTTAAATATAATTAAGTTCAAAGAGGATTTATAAAATGTAATTTACCTATTTGTGAATACCTGCCTATTAATTTTCCTCATGGAAGTATTTAGAGAAATATAACATATTGCAATTAGTTTCCTAGTCGTTCTATCGACAGAACGAACCGGTTCTTTTCCTAGTTGTTCTATTCACAGAACAAACCGACATTGATTGTACTAGCCGTTCTATGAGTAGAACTATATGTTTTTTTCCTAAATGATCCAATAGAAATAATAGAACAAACAGTAGAACATACGGTAGGCTCTATATGATGTGTTAAAGGTATAGCAAATAAAAAAACGTGAATATGTTCCTGAAAATTTAATGACTTTAATAAGAGAATAACTAAATTAAAACAGCAAGATAGAAGGAAATCATTCATTAACATCATCTTTGTCTGATTATGTTCAAGCTAAAAGACCAAAATTAATCAATGACCTAACAAAATATACAACAAAAGTCATTAAATAATTAAGTCCAACCAATCAGTTAGTCTACCGTGGACAACGACCGAAGCGTTACTTAGTTATTATTGGTTCAACTTCACCACTAAAATGAACAAGTTACATAATACAACTTACAATTTTGAATAATATTGTGATTAAAAGAAAAAAAAGCTAAATAATTCTTTTTCTACTTATATGTGTAATAATATAAAGTGTCGACTACTTATAATATTTATAACTATCCATATGCTTACTTTAAATTTTCACACAAAGAGCGGAGCGGCGAGGGCTCAGCGCGTACGGCCGCGGGCTAGATAGGGTGGCGTGCGGTAACGGGCGAGTGGCGACGTGTAGCGACGCCGTGACGTCACAGCACGCCTCCACCCCAGCGATGACGTCACTGCGGCCGCACGCCCGACGCCGCCGGCGCTCACCTTAACCGATACACACCACAATCTCGCTAAACACTAGGTCACTTATGCCGAATGTTAGACAAATAAGAAAGCGACTTTTCAAACCAAAATGACAGTACTAACAATTTGAAGATGATGTTAACTTCCACAGTCCCGAGATTTGCGCGTGCCGGCGTGGCGTGTCGGCGTGGCGGAGTGCACATTCGTGAACTACTCATGTCGCACGTCACGCCACTTACTCGTATCACGAATGTTCGTCACAAACACGAGTCAAGTCGGCGCAGCAGCGCCTCCTTTACAATTTACAACTAGGCGATCGACACGGAGAGCAGCCCCTCGTCTCCAGCATACGATTGTTACGTCGATATAGTCAAGAGCGCTACGCTCTCCGTTGGAATCATAACAATGTAGCTTTTTTTGGGGAGTTTCAATTTTTTACAATATATAGGATTTGTTTTCTATAATTAATTAAATCTAATATTTACAATGGAGGTGTGAATGGACAATCTTCAAACTCTACTTATTATCTCAAAATTAATCCTGAATTCCTACCCGAAACGAACATTATCTACAACTTTTAATAAAAATTTAAAAGTAAAACTCGCCACAAATAATTCTAAATACAGTACAGATCGAGTATGTGTTTCCTAATCGGTTGCGTCTCCCTAGAATTCGGCTCTGCCGTGTTGTAGTTAGATCTCGGACAGAAAATAGTACCATAAAAAGTCGAAAAGAAACATTTAAAAGTGCCAAGTGGCCACCCGTCATAAAATATGCAATACGCAAATAAGAAACACAGACTCGATCGAATATTTATTTAGAGAGAATCATAAAGGTATGTAATGCGGTGCGGTGAGGGGGGTGTCGGCTCATATCTTGTGAATCTTCTGCGAGACGACGACAGGATTGTTGCGGCGGATCTCCTGCGCGCCGAGTTCCCGGTAGTCGAACGAGCAGTCGTGCTTGTCACTGTACCGGTGCACTGCGCAGAACAGCCCTCCGCAGCGGCACTCGAACCCTGACACACCACCAAACAATGTATTTCTGCCCACGTATATGCTTGTAACATTAACTACGGAGCAACATTAATAATACTTTAAAACAGAAATATATAGGTAACAGACTGAGCCAATTCAAATTATTAAAGGTATACAAGATCCTTCACCCAACCCTTATATATTAGTACAGGCTGAGAATATCGAAAAAAGAAAGTGGTTGGTTTTTCAACAGGATAATTCGGGTAAACGTATTAGATTCAAATGATACTTTGGAAAAAATCTTTTCATGACATGTAACCGAAAAAAAATGAGCAGGTGCGAAAAACTGGTTTATGGAAAATAAAAAACAGAAGGTTATAGCGCGAGTGTTTTTTCCCCTTCATTTTCTCAACTTGTGTGACTTCGTAGGAAATCCGTTCGAAGCTTCAATTATTTCTTTTAATACTGTTCTTTTGTGAAAAATTTATAAAAATAGGTGATTCGGAAAACCGTGCGCTATTAACAAGAAAGCATCCAACGACAATTTAAAAAATGACATTTTTTCGTTAAGGGTTGCCCTGCAACCTCTGCATGATTATAAATCGCTCAGATGCATGACATGCGAGTGAAAACAAGCGCTCCTAGTAAGCAACAAAGGGATTATGCAGCGGAGTGAGGGGAACTTTCTCTCTCCTCGATTTCGATTTTCTTTACAAAGAAAATAATTTATGATTGACCTGTCGATTTACAAATGATTTAATAAAAGTCCAAATATAAGTTTAACTATACAAATAAATAATAATTATAATCCTGATAATAATGCAGTTTAAGTTAGGCACTTTAAGCTTTAAACTGCAATTTGACTGCACGGATGGCGTCGTGGTGGTTTAAGCGGTCACCTCGCCGCTTCCTACTGCGCTAAGTGTTGTGGGTCCGATCCCCACATGGGACGACATTTTGTGTAATACACAAATTGTTGTTCTGAGTCTGAGTGTTCTTTATGTCCGTTTCATGTATGTTTGTAAAGTTCCCCGCGACACAGGATTAATTCCTAGTGCGGGAGTTGTCTTTAAAAAAAAAAAAAGAACAAAAAAAAAGAACATGATTTTATAACAACTAAGTTGTTTATATTCTTTTGTGTTTTAGAAATAAATGAAATGTTTTTTAAGTACCAAGGTCAAAAGATACCTTTATGCTTAGCTTAGAGAGAGTAATAAAAATCAATTATGCAGTTTAGAAACTGGATTAGTTAGTGTGGATGAGGTCTTTATAAAAAAATATTTCCACAGCGAGAAAGACTAAACCGCATTAAAAAACTTTATTTCATTTGCAAGTTATATTTGTGTGTTGATGATCTATTTATGCAAAACGTTTTCCACAACGAGAAAGTCTAGAGAACTTCAGAAATCATTTCATAAATTTATTTTATTTGCAAGGGTTATTATTTGCTACGAAATCAATGAATCCACCAAATGATTATATCCATATAGATTCTGTTACACTGTTACAATAAATAAAAACAACAACAATGTAATATATATATACATTACAACAATATTTCGTTTGGTGTAGTGTAGCGCCCGTAATTAGAGAATCAAAACTCGAAACAAACCCTATACCAACCCGTCTGCCCAGCTTGGCATAGAAGGCTACTAAAGAGGATTTGGAGGTAATGGTATAATTCAAAACAACTTCTTAGGCGGTACGCAAAAGATAAGTCACAGATTCTTTTGGATTCACAAGGGAAATTTTGACTCCGTAGCCACATTTGAATAAGCTGATAGACCGAGTTTATCATAGTATTAATGCTAAAAAAGTGCATATGGCATTCTCTTAACACCAAGATAATTCAGTGTCTTAAGATTTGTAAAGTCAACTTTTACGTGGAGTCACATCAGACATTACATAATCTAACGGATTAATCTAAGACATTGCAGTATTAAATTTTACATAGAAAATAAAACCGATCTTTACCTTGTGTTACAAGGTAAAGATCGGTTTCTATTTAGTACAAGACTGTGTCTTTGGTTTCAACATTATTTCGTAATCTTCATTTAAAATAAAATTAAACATTTGATATACTGTAGTTTCGTTAACAAAACTTAGTCCTATCTTTACCTGTTAGTCCAACCTTCTTACGGCAAACGGCGCACCTATTCTTTTTCTTTTTGTCCTTACTGGGGTCTTTGTCGTCGGCGTCAGTGTCTGACGTTCCGGTACTCGCCCCACTCGTGCCTGCTCCACTCTCCTCTTCAAATTTCTTTAATTAATAAAAAAATCACTGGTTAATATGGGACAGGTAAACACAACTTACTATATTTTCCGCTCACGATTTCGATTACTTAAGGTATTTAGACAAGTTATACGAGTGTAATTGACATTTCAGGCGGACGAAGTAGTATGAGAAGTGTGCAGTAAGAAACCTCTTTATGCACTAATTTTAATATAATCATCTTAAAGTTTAGTGTCACAAAGAAACAAGTATCGAATTAATTTATTGAATTGTTTATGCACAAATACGAATTGTACATTTAGTCAAAAAAGTATCGGGAATGGATGATTTGTTCCTGGCTCCAAATTCAAATTTTTGTTTCTTTTTGTTGTTGTTAGATTGGCACAACTGTTTCCCATTAAATACAGTGCTGTTTTTAGTTGTAACATATCTAATGTGTATTGCGAATTTCATAATGGACAAAAACATCGAACAAAGAGTTTGTCTTAAATGTTGCATCGCCAATGGAATTTCATATTCGGAGTCACTGAAAATGTTACAGAGGGCTTACGGTGAATCGACTTTATCAAAAACACGTGCTTATGAGTGGTAAAAAGCGGTCGAGATGTGATGGAAGATTTGCCTCGATCTGGTAGGCCATCATCGTTTGCAACTGAAGTTAACATCGCACAAGTGAAGGAAATAGTGACTGAACATCCTCATTCAACTTTAAGAGAGATAGCCGCCGAACTTTCTTTATCTCACGAGTCGATCTGATGAAACATGTTACGTTGTGTTATGTTTGTTATTGTTGTTAAGACTTACTAGTTACATACATACTTATACTTGTATATTAATATTATATAAAACTTTAAGGTTGTAATGAATCTGCTAGGATGTCCAGAATGCGAGCTCGAACTTTCATCTTGAACGAGAGGCTGCTGGGTGCTATCCTGATTTCTAGAAGGAGAGGGAGCGAGAGGAGGACGGATTGGATTAGGAACGAGGAGTGGACACAAGTGGAAGTATGAGTGGGGCATAGCAGAAGAAGATTGTTTGATGAACGGAGGGTTCTATTGTGGCGGTAATATAGAAATTGGAATTAGGATGTCAGGTAGGAAGGTGATATAGATGAGAGGAGAATGGAATAGAGGGTGGTGAAGGCGCGCAACCAATGTCAAAACAATTCTATTAGCCCAATTAATAAATTATTAACCCTTAATATTCTAACCAAAAGTTCTATCGAGGCTTGATGACAGAGCTGCAAGCCATCGGCATAAAGGCATTGAAGGTTCTAAGGAACTAAACTAATATACGAGAGAGAATACCACCTTGAGGGACACCACAGTCAAATTCACGCCAACTTGACGAGGATTCATCGTCGCGGACAGACTGTGTATGCCCCTGAAGATATGATGAGAACCTTTCCAGTGTATCAGGCGTAATCATGTGATAGGACAGGACAGACAGAAGAATATAGTGACTGATGGTGTAATTTCATTATCTCGTATTTTATTTTTGCTGAACGGCCCGCCAGGCTCTTATAATTTTTGACAAACCTGATTTAAATAAAACCTATAGTTTAATCAACGGTAGCATAGAACTTAGCGTAGTTTTTGTTTTTAGTGCGATCGATCGTACCAGCGATACATGTTATTTTATAGTACTCATTAGAAACCTGCAATCCTTTTATTTACTACCTTACCAGAGTAAATAGCACAATGTGAAAAGCAGTATACCTTCATTGGTATATCTTACGTATATTTATTTTTGGTATACCTTGATTTTTATAAGCAGCGACATAATAAGACTTTCTTATTATGACATTTATCAAGCAAGCCAGTTTTTTTTTTAATATTTTTAAAACAAACCCGTTTTAAATTCTTTTTGACACCGTCCGCCTCCGAGGGACGCTGATCTTTAATCTCAAGCTTCGGAGGAGATAATATTTGTTTGGCATCCTTCTTAGACGCAGAGGGCGATATACCGATTAGTTGGTTGCGATTTTCTTGTATATCCACGCTTTTCCTGCCATTAGATTCCACGGTGGGAGCTGACTCTTGATTGTGATCTGCTGCTTTGTCATCTACTTTCGACTTCGCCGAGGGCTCTAAAATTTCTTTGGTGCCATCAGGTTTTGGCAGCGGCGTACTGTCATTGATCTCAAGAGACTGATGCTTATTCTCGAAGCTTTTCGAACGTGACACGCCGATACCTACTTCTAGCGCAGAGTTTTGACTACCGCTGTTGGATTTACTGTTGCGACGTATTGCTTTTTTGAATATCCTCTTCCCCTTCGACTCTTTTTTGCTAGGGTCATTTTCCATTATTCAGATTTTTTATAAACTTCAACTTGGACATTTTGACTGCCTGTCAACATTGTTCCGTAACACTAACAACTGTGACTCGGTAACGCTTGTTGCACTTGAATTTAGTATACCTTGATTTGTATTAAGTATAAATGTAAAATTATATCGGCGTATTTATTAGTTCGAAGTTGTAAACACTACCAGTTAAGGAGTAAAGGTGTCCCTCATCATGAGTCAATGATTTGGGGGGACTAAACAAATAAACACGTATTACATTTTAAAAACTAGTGAATAGCAAACTCGGGTTATTTGTATTTTTACAAATAATAATGTATAAAGTATTTAGTATTTTATGTGTAAATAAATAAAAGTTTTATTTTTCGGTTTTCTCGTTGACTATGAACGCAATGTCAACTTGACGTAAAAATTCCTATTTTAAAAAGAAATTTCGTGCGGCCTGTGTTTCTTTGATAAAGTTTACACCGTTAGAGGTTTGATACGAATGTCAAATAACTATCATGTTAAATGCAGCCCCAGCAATAGTTAAACGAATGTCTAATGAAGGTTGTCCAACACTATAAATTACAAAGTTAACGGATAAAAATACACCCCACACTCCCTCGGTATTGAAAATCGAAACCACAACAAGCAGCATGTATGACTTAAACAAATAATCATGCTAAATGGATTTACTCGAGCGTCCATGGGGACCTATTGCATTTGAAAGACTAGGTATTGGAATAAACAAAGTTCTATATTAATGTATCCACTTTCAGCGGTGGGAAAAGCTTCTACAGGTTTTCAAGTGTAAGGTTTCAAAGAAATATTCGGGCGCATCAGATATTTTGGGGATATGTTATTAGGACGCCAAAAATGCTCTCATTGAAAGGTCTGAAGATGACAGACCTCGAGAGAGTGACACAAGCTCGTAGCGAATTATCAAAATTTCAAACCGAAAATCGCAATTTCGAAATACCCGAGCGTGTTAGATTTTATAGAGACCGTTCAGCTTGATGTTCCTCTCATACAAGCCAAAAATCTGACGATAATTTTGCAGGGTCTTTTAAATCTGAAGAAATATTTTTCTTGTGATTTTTATAAAATGTGACATTTAAAGGCACGAAAAAATATGTAGACATTTAAAGATTTATTGCACGATTTGCTTAAAAAAATATGTCTGTCATGTGTTTTCTTTTTTTCAACTTTCCCACTGCTTTATGTCGCGCTCAAATCGTCTGTTTTTTTAAATACACAGTAATATGTATGAAATTGACTCAACTTACTAAGGTGCTTACATTGCTCGAGTATTTCTGGCCATCGATTTTCTTTTTTAATAATCTGATGGGCTGCCATAGACGCTCTCCCCTATATGTAGGGCTCCTGTATAGTGAAGGTACTCAACTGGGTGTAAGGTTTTTCTCCTATCTTAATCTGCCACGCTCAAGTAAATCCCGAAATCCCTTCTAGGGTTCCTTTACTATATAGGGTAAAGAATTAAGACTCAAGATGATACTAGTCTGGTTTTACAAGTTACTAGCTTTTCCTGCGGCTCCAACCGTATGTATGTCGGTTATCGCGATAAAAAGTAGCCTATGTTACATGCTGATAATGTAGCTTTCAGTTTTTTACACATGCGTAACAAACAAACTCACTTTCATATTTTTTATATAAGTATGGATTTGCTAAGTAAAATGGCAAAGCTAGGTTACTGTGGCTGTTCTAGAACTTTCTTATGGAACCAATTACCACCACAGAAAAAAGAATAATATTATAAGTGCTATCCATGGTACATCCTAAGATATCCTAGACGCACACAAACGATAAATAATATTTTACTCTTATAAAGAAGTCTACGCTAATTCGTCCCACAGGATTTATTGAATATAAATCCTAAACGCCACTTATAACGTTACTAAATAAAACCTTATAGCTTTAAAATAAGGTAGCATTTTACGCGAGTCGTATTGGTCTAGAGGCGGTAAGCAAGAGACCCTGAAGATGTGGTAGTTCTGCCATATATCGGCGTGCTCATTTGCAATTAATATATATGATTATGTTTTAGTAAAGTATAATAATCCTTTATGAGAATACTAGCCCATGTCCTTTTCTAGGGGTTCAAAGTTTAAAGCGAGGTTTCAGCGATTTTACACTTTTTGAAGAAAAATAAAAACACTAATATGCCTTTTTGTACATTAAAATGAATGGAATGGAAGGAATGGAACGATGGAAGGTACCAGTAAATATTAGAAATCTCTGATTTTGGTATAGTTTTGCAGGTCCTAGTCCTTTCGCAATAAATGTTGAACAGTTATCATCAATAAAATTGCCTGGGTATTAAAAATAAAACCTATTGTTTATGGGATTTAGATTAAACATATTGTAAGTAAGAAGTAATGATCTAATATCATATAACTAATAATTACCTAGGAGCATAAGGACGTTAATTCGCCTGTTTAAACGGTAATTTAATTCCATTTTTTTTTTAATTTCATGTATATCTACTTTAGTGGAAAGCTAACGCACAGGTAAATTAGTCCGAATAACAATATAAAGTGCAAATGCCAATTATCTCAAACACGATATACTTTTCAAACCTACTGCATTACGCTACACTGGCACAATATCAGGCCCTCAATTCTGCTATTTTATGTTCACGCCAAGCCACTGTCATACATAAACTAAATTATTAAAAAAATAAAATTATAAAAAAAAAGAAAAAAATAAAAAATATTAAAATAAATCATTTCCTTATAATTTGAAAATATATTTCCTCAAAAAACGTAATATATTTTCAAATTATAAGGTTTTTTTTTATTTTATTTTTTTTATTTATTTATTTCTTTATTTATAATTTTATTTTTTTAATAAAAATTTTAAATAATTTATTTCTTTTAATAATTTATTATAATAAAAATAAATGAATCATTTCCTCAAAAAACGTAATATATTTTCAACTACCGATATTTATACCGATGCCAATGGCCACTCGATGGCATCTCAATAGCGTGTCAGTGGTATGACAGTGGCTTGGCGTGAACATAAAATAGCAGAATTGAGGCCCTGGACGTAGGATGAGTCGCGCGCAGCGATACGTTGGCGGGGAGGGTAAGGCAACGTTTGCACACCTACACACTGCGCTGCAAGAGGGCCTTAAAATCAAGTCAATTCGTCACAAATATGTATGAACCTTTTTATTAGTAACATTATCGTTTTATTTTTCGAATGAGCAAAAACATCTCCAAAACAGGTTCATTAAAAAAGTATATGGGAGAACCAACAAAAATCTCCTCTTTTTACTGTCGGTTAAAAATCATATCACAAAATAAATCAGCCTATTAAACTGAAAATCATTGTTAAAAACTAATATCTTCGTTAGCTATAATATTGCGATGTCGAATAAATTATAACAGCATTGGCTACATCACAATCGCAACCAAATGTGAACCATGACTTAACTAAATATTTTCGTGCAAAATGTATCGAAATATTCCTGCATGCAATATGCAGTTCATTGCGTGCTCACGTAGTTATAATATAGTTAGTTCTCAGTTTTATTACACAATTTATAACTATTTTAATAGATTACTTCATAACGGTTTTCTATCTTGTAATAAATAATACTGTGATCTTTTGTGAATATTACCTAACAATAAAAATTTTGGAGTGTGCCTGATGATATGGTATATTTCCTTTGCACAAATTGCAGTCCTGACTACTTTTCTATAGAAGCATATCGACAAACTTTTCACGATGCTACGTGTCCGGCGATAAGTCTTAATACGCGAGTACGAGTGTTTACAGCGACTTATATATACGCTCGCTCCTAACTTCGGCGCGTCTGCCTCGCCTGCATTTCTACTTTATTCTTTGTTCAGTGACTACCACATAGAAACACTTTTATATTCTACGATCTGTGCTCGTTTCATACTGTTCAATATAAGAGTCGATATAATGTATACGAGTATGTATATATTTCGGTCAATTTTTGTTTGCGTCTGTTACAACCTCAACCGATAAGTAAGTCAAACACATTAAAAGCAGAAATACGTAAAAAGCAGAAATAATTCGGTACATGTTTATAGTAAAATAGAACTTAACTTATCTTACCTGTGATACCTTAATCAAAGAAACCCATTAAATCTATGCATTATTTTAATTGATTTTTACATCACTGACTAAAAGGTATTTAGCGATAAAATTATGATGTCACTGCAACATAACTAATTGTTAACAAAAAGAATGACGGAGAATCAAAATAGATAAGTACGTGATTGACTTGTATGAGATCTACATATTTACATTGTCTTTTAACTTTTGACCAATGTCGCATTCGTGTATTGCGACGTGACGTGCTCACTGGGCATGGCTGCTTCGGTGAGTACCTGAATCGGATTGGACGCTAGGAGACGGCATCTGAACGCGAAATCCTGGTCGATGAAATCGAGATACTTGTCCCCGCCAGCAATCATTACTGCCACTGCCATGCTGGCGGGTGAGGAGGGCTGGGGCGCAGTGGTGTCTTTCTGTGAAGCTGTAATGCTACAGAAATAGACCGCTGAACGGGATCGGGAGAGGGCCGATCCCGAGCGAACAAGACGTCGGCGGCGGAATCAGCAGCCGACGGGACCGCGGGCCGCCAGAGAGTGGGGACCTCTGGTGGCAGATTAATTGCTGCGGTAGGGGATAGGATGGCAGCCAGATCGCACTGAAAATGTGAGGCAGGGAGAAGCCACTGGCTTTCCCTGAGATGGGGCCTAGTTAGGTGCGGCGTCGATCTGGAGGAACCTGAAATCACATTGCCCGGCTTCTCCCCAGAGCAGGGCGCCTAAGGCTGGTCGTCGGAGTGGTTTTTAGTGGAATCACTACATACTCCTGGCTCCTATATCCCCAAGGAGCCGGAGATCCTAAGGGATTTTCCACTCCGTCAACAAAAAACAAGGTCACCTAATATAACAAATCTTAGTAATTTATCGTAGTTAAAGTTTAATTATTGCTAGCCACAGGTACGATTCATTCTA